ACTCTAATAAGTTGGCTATAAAACTCTGCTTGAATGGTTTTACTGCTCTAGGTCTCTGTTTCCTTGACGGTATAAGGCGGAAATTGTTATTTCAATTATTCCATATCTATTATCTCCTACTGTCTTGTGACAAATGAACCAGCCAATGTGAAGGTATTTAGAACAAAATAAACATTATATATTTGTGATATTTATACATCTTTTGTTAATTTTCTACATCTATACTAAGAAAATATTCTTGGCTTATATTTATTCAGTGTTATTTGCTAAGTTTTAGTATTTTTATCTTGATTCAAAAGCCTCTCCCTCATAAGTAAATCAGAGCAACAACTCCCAGTGCAACATTTCAGGGACTTGTAGGTAAAGAAGACATTTAAAAAATTACTGAAAACTACTATTTCAGATATTAATCTCTGAAAGTCTAAAATATTCTAGGCTTTCATCAAGCAATTGACAATGCTTTGATGTGTGCTAAGACTAAGAAATACCCAACATTACTTCCAGAAATTTAATTCATTTAGCTTTTCAGTGGTTGATCAATACCCTCCAGAGATGAATCTGACTTAGATTTAAGACACAATTTTTTTAAAAAAATTCAATAATAGGGTATTTTGCAGTAAATGTCATCAATTTTAAAATCTCAGTGAATAATCCAGGACTAGAAATAAGTGACACTGGATTTTAGATTCTCGTAATTTAGGAAAATGTGATAAGGTGATAAGGTCCAGGGAAGTCACCCCCAAATAGGAGGAGGCTTTCCCCTTGCACCCTTTGCTCTAGCTTCACTGAATAACTTCTCTCCTATACACCCCCAATCTTTTCTTCCATCTGTGTTGTTCCTCATGGTGTTCTTCAGTCTGAACTTGGCCTCATTCATTGCCACATGTCTAGACCTTGTTCAACTTTCAAAGCAGTCACTACTTGTAACCTCTTTCACAAAACCATGCTCCCCACCATCACTTCTACAGATGCTGCCATGCTTTTCAATGCTGAAATTCCAAAGCACATAATTTTCCCTCTGGTTTATACATTTTTATTGTAATTATTCTTTGCATCATGGTTATTAAAGCCCCTTCTCTGAATGGATACTGGCTATACACACCTGGTTCAGCAAGCATGCTTCCTGGCTGCTGATGAAATAGAACCAATCATACTAGATGGACAGTATGCTCCCTTAGATCAGCATATGTATTGAATTGATCTCTGTAGGATCCAAAGTTTTAATATGGTGTTTTGCATATAATAGATACACTCATATATAGCACTAATCAACTTTGGAAATATAAGAAAGGTAACATAAGTATTGGGAAAAATAAGACAGCAAGGTCCCGTATTTGTGGAGTGAATATTATTGGATGCCATAATAATAGCTGTTATTATACTCTAATTGAGGATCTTCCATAATAGTTTCATATTTTCTCTTTGAGAGTAGAGCCTAGCAAATTTCTAGAATGTTTGAGGTTTATTTGTTCTGGAAACTGAATTTCCATTCTTACTGAAACTAAATTGAATTTTATGAAGATACTTAAGAAAACAAATGATTTATTAGGGTTATTTGTTCTTGAAAGGTATACAGCCAAGAAAATTAAACTTCATGGGAAGTTGTGATTGTAATACTTTTTAAAGATGATGAACACCTGGTTTAGGAGACTTAATGGATCAAGGCAGCTACTACATGGATGTTCACTGGCAAAAAATAACAGTATTAAATACATCCATCTTAACTAATAGAAGGGTCAACTAGCTTAAAGGATGTAATTAGATGTTTTTAGTGTAAATTGGAAAAACATTCATCTGTACAATTTGAAAGTCTAACTGGTTTGATTTGAATCTTAAAGAAAAGTGGTCTTGTATAGCTCTCATTGTCAACAAGCGCACAACATTTTATCAATCCTGAATAATAATCATTTCTTTGGATGGGACCAAAATGACTCTGTCTCACATATACTCCTAATTTAATAATAGCTACAACTTAAAGGATGTTAACTGTATGCCAAACACAACACTTATTTTCACTTTACATATGCTCTCAATTGTGGAAATTCAATGACTGATTAGTGGAGATAGTCTGAAAGCGTGTTACTGTTTTATACTACAACTTAAGTCAGAATCCCAGAACCCTTCATAGAGCTCACATTCTGACCCATTGAACTAATCTCATGCTGGGATTAAAATTCATAAACAACTTCTATGAATAAGGAAAAACATTGTTAGAGAAAATGACTAAGTGGAAAGTTATTGTTTTTAAATTAGAAGCAGAATAAATGGACTTGCTTAATAAGAAGAACAAGGACATGGCTATTTGACATTAAAAAACACTCAGTAACATTCTCAACAGAAATTGCAACCCCATAAAACATTACTTTTTACATTCTGAACCCTATAAAGCAAAAACAAGAATAAAAATTGTATGTGAACAAACTGTCTAAAAGCGATTACTTAAAATCTATGATATACTCTGAATTAAAGTATGCTGTCCTAAAGCAAATCTTTGTAGATGAGTATTTCTTAGAGTGGACTAAGTTGTTCATAAAGCAAAGTGCTTAAATGAATAATATAAGTACTCAAGATGAAGTAGAACATTTCAAGGATCTATAATTTCAAGAAAACTGTGCTTATCTACAGAGTCACAGTTTTTCTAATGTCCTGGTGAAGGATTGAACGGAGGAAAAATACAATAAAAAACTATATATTTTGTCTAAAAAAATTGAATTGACTCTTGTTTGTTTTTGTTCTCCCACTAAATTGGCTGTTTATGTTCACTGACAACAAAAGGAAGTAAAGACAATTCTTTGGATCACTCAAAACAAACACAGATTATACATATATCTCAAGTACAACACAAAGTTGATTCCATATTTCTATGTGGGCAAAACAAAATCTTGCACTTTAAATTGATGTGTCCTCCTATCTGCATAGAGCAAATACATTCTTAATCATTTTCTCCTCACGCTGTTTATATATTCTTTCTAATTTAAAATTGCCTCTGAGAGTCTAATATTATTGCAGTTTTCTTCTCCATATTATTAACTCTTTTTTATATTTCTCTTACAGTGATTCATGCCAAATTCATATAGTTATGTAGATTATAAATTTGATTATTGTCAAATGTTAACAGTAACTCAGTCAAAAACAACTTGTCCAAAAAGTTGCTACCAAAAGGGCACTTGACTATAAATAACTCACATTATATTACATATTCCATCTTGTTCCTGTCCTCAACCCCCGCCCCTCTGCTCAATGACTAATCTGAGATCAACTGTTGATCAGGGTCAGTTCCTTAAAGGGGAAACATATTGACTCATAAGTTTAAATAAAAATAAAGTAGCCTCTGATTGGCTCCTTCTTGGAAAACAAGCATGTTTTGTGTGGGACTGATATGAAAGAAGAAAGCAGTATTAGGATGAACAATTTCTGTTCATTGACAGCTGTTAACATTTATACGAAAACAATTTTATTTATAAACTTTAGGATTAAAGAAAGGTAAAATTAAGTAGCTAAAAGTATGCATGAATTGCTTCTCTATATATGTAAATTCTAGAGTAACATGAAAATCAATAGCTGCTAATTGTATAGACATTCTCTGAGCAATTCTGCGGGCAAGGCTGTCTGCTAAGTGCTGGGATAACAAGAGGAGTAAGTGCTTTCTCTGGTCTGAGAGTTGTTCAGCCTTATGTAGGAGACAAAAATAGAAATAGGTAATTTAAATCAAAGAACAATGATAAAATATGCAAATTCTCTCAACTGTGTGTGTTAAGAGCATAGAAGGAAAAGAAGGCAAAATGGGGAAGAGAGTGAATTAAGTGCAGGGCATACGTAGTTTGATGCATCCATGTAAAATATTGTGCCGGCCCTATACTTATGTGCTTTCGGATGCATTCTTCGGTCTTTTCCTTGCTTTCTTCTCAGAGTAGCTGCCCTGTACAGTTTCGCAGACCTCTCTGTCAACTGGCTTCCAACTGGATTTGATCAGGCACTGGCAGAGATGGGAGACTGGGAGGAAGAGAGAACCAGGATATTTCTCCCCATCCTTGTCTGTCTCAGGATATATTTCCGGCACTGGCTGAATTTCTTTCATGTTTCTTACCCCCAGAAAGCAGGCGTGTCCTGGTTTTGGCTCTCACTGTCCTCTAGCTTACTGGAACAATAGCTATTTTTCTGCTGCTTCACTATACCCCACTTAGTTTCTCAGCTTCTTTCACGAGTATATAATCAATTGCTAGTCATTTGTTTCCTCTATTTCAAATATTCAGAGCCATTTATAGTTTCCTGGTTGGACACAAATGCCTGACATACTGAGTCTAAATTCCAGGAGTTTGGGCTGCAGGTTTGGGACTAATCAACTTATAAGAGAGAGTTCATGAGTGTGTACAGAGATAGGGTAGGTAAAAAGATTGGTAGATTGAGGGTGGAACCCTGAGGTATTTGCAAGAGATAAAGGAAGCATAGCTTTTGAAGGCGTCCAAAGATTAATTTACAATTTGAGTAGAACAAGAAAAATGTGGCATTCACATAAGCCCCTGAGAAAACCTAGGTATCACTTAGACCCAGCATTTGTCAGATGAGATTTCTGAAGATAGAGAAATGAGGTCACATATCTAATAAAGGCCAGAATTGGAAACCTGTTTTCAATTCTATTTCCCTAGGTAGTGTTCTTGTGATAACACACCCATAATCATGCTAATAGTGTGACATTGGTGTCATTTTCACTTGTTCTGACCTTGTTCTATGTGTGCACTTCAGTTTCCTTTTATATAACGCCAATATATGTTTTTAGTTACCTCATAGGTAATTGTAAGAATCAAATGAGACAGGGCATGAAAAGTACTTAGAATAAACTACTTAGAATAGTTAAATGTATTGAGAGAGGTTGGAATGACACATGAAGAACAATAGGGCTACTAGATTCATTTTATTTTTTTTTATTTTTTTCAGATAAAGTCTCCCTCTGTCACCCAGGCTGGAGTGCAGTGGCGAGATCTGGGCTCATTGCAAACTCTGCCTCCTAGGTTCAAGCAGTTCTCCTGCCTCAGCCTCCTGAGTAGCTGGGATTACAGGTGAGCACCACCACACCTGGCTAATTTTTGTATTTTTAGTAGGGACGGGATTTCGCCACGTTGGTCTCAAACTCCTGACCTCATGATCTGTCCACCTCGGCTTCCCAAAGTGCTGGGATTTCAGGAGTGAGTCACCACACCTAGCCAGGGATACTAGATTTTATCACACTATTATAAAAGGTAAGCTAGTCATCATAAAGCTTATAGATACTCTTTTTATATGTTTGCTGAAGTTAAGGTGTTTTCACATTTGGTAATAACTTACTATTTGTTTAATAAAACGAAATTTGAAATTAAATTTGGTTTTTCTTTAGAAGTTAGTTTAGCAGTGAATTTTTCTGTAAAATGATTTTTACACCATTAATTTCTTCTCAGCTTCATATATTTAAGAATTTCCATGGACTTAAATGAGGTTCCATGATTGATTTTCTATTTGCATGATATTTTAAACAAAATATATATTTTTAAGTTCAAGATTTCCCTCCCACCCTCGGAAAGTCTTCTGAGTCTTTTTTGTGCCATCCTTCTCATTCTTCTTTCTCTTTTAATTTTTTAGTACCCCAAGTTCCTTCAATGTTAAACACAAATGAGAAAACTGGGAAATTGTAAAGAAAGTCATTCTCATTTAATAGATAATGATGTCTTACTACCTATTGCTTTTGCCATTAGTATGTAACATTTAAATTCATGTTAAAAGAAAAATAACTCAAACATTTATACTGTAGAATGTAGATTAGGCCAAAATCTAATATTGTAAATTTTTACTTACCTTCAGTGTCTGCTAGTCCTACTCCTACCCCTGGCTGTTTTACAGGCTCTTGTCCATTCTGTCCCATCTTCCCTCTGTTTAGGAATAAAATAAAATGATATATTCAGTTATGATCTCATGAATGCAAAGGAGGCTAAATTTGCATAAATTAAATAACATTGAAAGTAATGGCAAAAACTGCAATTACTTTTGCACCAACCAAGTATTTTCGGACTTGTAATAATTATTTGAATGGCACATACATACACAGTTAATTGCTCTATGTCATGATTTTAAAATGTGAACTTGTTTATTATTCCTCTTCAAGCCAAATATATACCTTAACATTCAGTAATTTTTATTTGTAGACTCATTTATCAAAAAATAAGACCGTCATGACATTTCCAAACTTTGTTTTAGAATTTTTTATTTATTTCTAACTCAAAAATGAGAAGGGGCTTTATATTTTTATAAATTGTACTGATGAGTTATTCTAGCTTTTTTTTTGGTGAAAAGAGCAATATTGAAATAAATACTATATAAAAATGATATTTTAATAGAATATTTCTTATTTCATGTGTTTTTTTCCCCCAACTCCTTCCTGTGTTTTCTGCTATGTTGAGCAAACTGGCTTTTGTAGTCAGGCTGCTTGGTCTCTGCTTCTGGCTTTGCTATTTCTTGCTATGTGTAATGTAAGGCAAAGTACCTGGTCAAGACTGTTTCTCCTTTTGTGATATAAAGATAATAATATTAGCTACATTTTGATTGTGAAAAAAATTACATGAAAAATGCATAAAAAGGTTTAAAGAGTGCCTGAAAAATCATAAGCATTCAATAAATATAGCATATTAATACGTAGGCATGCTCATAGCAGCCTTAGCATTCAGCTAAAATCTGCTAATCACTTTTACTTTTCAGCTTCAAACTTTTTGGAAAGTCAACTAGATGAAGAATTCATGATACTTTGAGGATTGTAAGCTTAGAATGTTAATAATTTAACAGCTAAAGGACTGAAGGCCACTGCTTATTTCTCTGGCTACAGAAAAAGCTACATGGCACATGAAAAAGTTTGGAATTTGCCTTTATATATACTTAGATAGGGTGTTCTAAAAAGATGGAATAAAAACTTAAGTGTTATAGAAAGATGCTTGAACAAAAGAGCATCTTGATACTGCACTTTGTAGGCAACGCTTCTAGCATAGCAGGATTTACTAACAATTAATTACAACTTTCATAGGAAGTGTTTGGTTTGCTGGACCTGCTGAAAATGTAACCATATTTATTTCTTAAGAATCCAATCATATCTTACTTGAAAACTGCTCTAAAGATCCTCTTATTCTACTTCAGAGAAGGTGCTGAAATGTGTCTGCACATAATAAAAGAGGAACACATGTAAATTCAGAAATTATTTTATCTCAAAAACCATTACATTGTTCCATTATATTAATTCTAGGTTAAAGGTTTAAGTACAAATTTTTATTAAGTGTGTATGTGAGGGACCAAGTTCATGCAAATTAAGCAATTTCCAACATTTCTGTTTTATCATATGTATGTTAAGCCATGGTCTGCATGGTCAACATCTGCATACATATTTAAGCAACGCACAAAATTTTAGCGTATGTAATTGCTTCATCAAGATTCAAGACAATTAGTTAAGAAAAGAAAACAAAAAAGAACTCTGCTCTATCTGTTAGCATTAGAGAGGAAAAAAAAGTTTAATAGCAGTAATCTTACTTTTATCAGTACATTACACTGGTAGAGTGAGCCAAAACTTACCTTGTTACTGAACCAATTCTATTGAAAGTGAGGGTCTTTTTAGTATTGGTAATCTAGTAGATAAGAATACTAAAAAATTAATATTCTTATACTATCCCAGACTTTTAAAAAGTAGTTACTGTAAGTCTTAGTAATTGTAGCACAACTACATTTTGATAATTTTTGGGGTTGTTCTTGATTCTTAGACTTTATATGTTAAGGGTGATGCCCAGCCAGTCTTTGCTTTCGATTAAAACTGATTTTAACATAGGTACTTAGCCAATATGTGTAGTAAGTACATTTTGAAGATTATACAAAAAACTTTCGCAGGATTGTGAAGCTAAGTTAAGTGCAAAGGAAATGTAACTGCGGGTCATGTGAAGGATGTGGTTTCTCTGAATTCCCAATGACTACACTTTAGCTCAGAACATTGTTGCTATACATTTTATAATTTATATTTTTAAACAATCACTAGATATTTATTACAAACTTTTACTAGCCCAAGCAATAATTTTATTAGATACAATGGGAGATAAAAAAGAACTGCCACATACTACTTCCTACACATATCCTATAGTGGTTTTCAAAAGTAAATATTTGTTGTGCTCATATGGCAAAGCAAGAGTCTCCTAGACAGTTGTGCGAAGCTTTGATTCACAAGAGAAACAGAAAGTGGGAAAAACCAAAATTAGAACGTGATATATATATATATATAAAAAAATACATAATCTACTTATTCTACAGACATTCAGATATTGACAAAATAACATATTTACTCTTTGGAAGTTATAACTTTATCATCAGTGTTAAATTATATATTTTGAAAGGTGCAGAAAAATTGGAAGGATAGCAAATTATGTGTGGTTTAAAACCTTTCTAAATTCACATGGCATTTACAGCTTAGGGAGAAATGTAATGAATCTGTAGAAATTATTTTCTGTCAAATTGGATCATCAGAAGTCAAAGACCAATGAGATTAGATTCCTTTTAGGAAGAATTTCCAATAAAATAGAACTGATTAAGTACAAATAACCCTATTGAATCCATAGATGAAATCTCATAAAAGAAAAGAAAGCTAAGATGGGCAGGTGATACAACAATAATTTGCTTAATTTAAATTGAAAAAAAAATGTAGTTAAAAACAACAAAATGAACTCATTTTCACTGTAAAAATCCATTTTCCCTAATGCTTTGCAACTGAACTGTTATCAAAATATTACAATTGTTGTGGACATCAAAAGGAAAGATTTATGAAAACGCTTATTTTAAAACAAAGAGAAATAGAAAATCCACCTGCTGAAAAGTCTTCACTTAGCATTGGAGAAAATGGAAAAGACCCTTCGACAACCCAGCTCAGGGTTGGCAAGCTCTGCAAAGTGCCAGTTAGTAAATATTTTAGATGGGCTGTGTTCTAACAACTTAATTCTGCCCTGTGGCACAAAAGCAGCATCAGGCAACACAGAGCTAATAGGAGTGGTTGTGTTCCAATACAACTTAGTTTATATTCACTGAAATTTAAATTTCCTATAATTTTCACGTGTCACAAAGTATCACATTTCTTTTGATTTTTCCTACACATTCAAAAATGGAAACGCCATTTTTAGCTCACCAGCCTTAGAAAACCAGGTGGTAGACTGAAATTTGCCCTGGCCTAAATCCTGGGACCTGGGTGGCCTAGTGGTATTTTCAAAATCCAGAAGACTAGTTAATAGGGAGGAGAAGGAAAGGTCAGGAAGTTTGGATTTTGTTATTGGAATAGACATAATCTACATATTTATCTTAAATGCTACCAATATGATCAAAGTCATTCTAACACATTAAGTCTGCTAAAGTTTTGCATTTGATTTGCAAAATGACTTTTTTTTTGAGGTTTAATATTATGAATGATTCTTATTCCAAGAGTACCTAGTCAGGGACCTATGCACGACTCGGTACTTGTTCTAGAAAGTATGGAAACACTTCAATGCCTTCAATCTTAATTGTAGAAGGATTTATAGTTGAAAAGTCTCTATAATTATTCACTATGTCCTCTATTTCAAATATGGTATATGGATTCTTTGAATATGCTTAAATCTCTCCTGATTCAAGGTAAATTAATATATGTTTGTCTCAAATACCAGTAATGTTTGTATTTGATCATTATGTGATTAAAACATTTTTGTACTCCTGCTGGACTTTATTCTGGCATGGCTAAGTGATTAGCAGTTTTTACATCAAATAGAGATTGTATTGATTAAGTAGTTCTGGTAGTGACTAACATTTATCCTTAGAATTAACTGAATTATCCAATCTTTCTTGAACTATCTATCTTTACATAGGCATTAACAGTTGAAGTGTCTCAGGGACAATGACTCAGAATTGGATAATTGTCTGGTTATTTCCTGTTAACTGTTGAGAATGCCTTACTCATGATGCTGAGTAAGCTTTGTAGTAACAAAAAGAGACCCACTTACATCCTCGGAATAGGAAATAGATTAGTCTCCCCTGCAGTGCTGCTGCTTCCTTCACTGTCCACGCTATACCCACTGCCAAAGCTGCTGCCCGAGGAGCCGGTGGACACAGAGCTTTCTGCAGGCCGGTGATTGGGAGGCTTTGCTGCATGGTGTGGGAAGATTCAACACCACAGTCAATAAATGAAGCTGACATTGATCTACAAATGCATCATTATACATCTTCTTAATTTACACGTGTAAAGAAACAGCTACTGAAGAACTACATTTTTCAACCTGCCTTTTCGTTTCCTTTACTGATAATGCACAGTGGCAACAATAAATTATTTTACTGTTTTTGTTGGACATCAAGGAAAAACAATCTCCTTTAGGGAAAAAAATATTTAATTTTTAGACCGAGTTAAATAGTATGTAACTATGCTACTATTATTATTTTTGTGGTTTCCTTGTACAGTATTGCAAAAATGATATGGTAAATAAAAAACATTTTTGCTATTTCATGGAGAAAATAATTTAGAAAGATTTGGGTAGATAGAAATGGCAAGATAAAGAAAATTGCTTATTTTTTTCCTATTACTAGACAATAATCTGTTTTTCTCCTTAGAAGCAAAGATGCAAAATAGAATTTTAAGAAGTGATTGAAAATTCTGTTTGTTTTTATGTACCTTTGCCTGCTATCTCCAGCAAGTTTTTAAAATTTAAAGATATTTGTTTCCCTTCAGGCATTTCCTAGTTTATCATCAAGACTTGTCTCAAGAATTTCCTAAGTTTGATATTTGAATATAAGAATCCATATTCCCATAGAGATATTACAAATTTGTGCAATAAATTATGCAGTAGGGGTATAGTACTAATATTGTTGGCAGAATTAAGAAGAAATCTTGATGGAAAAAGAAGGAAGATAGGCAAGTTTTTCCCCTATTTTGCTGGGGAGAAGTTTCTATAGTAAGTTTTTGAAATTGTTGACATTTGTCTTCTGCCAGAGAGAGTGAACTTTTTGGTCACACCGATCTGGTTTTGACACCCAACCCACTCTTTAGCAACTCTACACCACTTTTCTCATTTGGAAACAATGGAGTCAGTAACGCCTACCTCATAAAATGGTGGTTATGAGGAGTGAGATATGTAGGAACCCAGTAACTTACTCTTTTTCCTCTTGTGATATTATTTGCCACATCCCCACTCTTCTCAAGGGCTTTACTATCAATGGCTGTTTCTTACTGTCTTTGAGCTTAAATAGTCTTTGAAAATGAATTTAACTCTATTCTCTTCTAAATCTAGATGTGTTCAAACCTACAATTCTACTTTGAGTCTTTTTTCTTCATAAATGCATCCCTATCCCATCAGGAGTTTATTAGCCAGTTGGATAGAGTTACACTAATGGGTGAACAGTTGATAATCATTTCATGGTCCTAAGGTATCTACATATTTCTTAAGGATATGTATAAAAACACAATGATTCTTAATCTGGTGGAATTTTAACCAATATAATAACTAAATGAAGTGAAACACATAAACATTGTGTGGGAAACCATTTGAGGACAGGAAATCCACCATCAGGATAGTTAGCATCAAGTCTTGCAAAGGATTTAACTTTTCCCCCATTTCTTCACTTTTTCGATTTCGTCAGTAAAGCCACAAGGAATTTTTATATATATTCCAGTGGCAGTAGGATCGCTTCCCCAGAATACAAATCCCTTCCCCAGAATAGGAACAAGAAATAAATTTTTAATAGTTAGTCAATTGTATATCCGATGTGTATAATTCAGAAATGGCTATTTAGAAAAAGGTGTTCCTAACTTATAGACATCTGATATACAATTGACTAATTGAACTGAATGCTGTAAACAACCAGTCACCAATGAGTTACTAGTAACCCACAGGACTAGATTTGTGGAAACAGAATAGTTATGTTTCTGAATATTTAATTTATGTAGAAGAAACCCAGATGATGTAGTTAGTGTTAAAAAAAAAACTTCTTAAAGGAATAATTTTAAAAATGTAAAGGTAATATGAGTAGAATGTAAAATTATGGACATGTATAAAGTAGATTAAAATGCATAACCTACATAATAAGTCAGATTAGTTAATTGATTATAAACCAAAGAAAGCTGTCATACTTTTTGACTGGGATTCTATAATCCAATTCATAATTTTTAGTATGACACTGACTGGAAGACATTAATTTCATCAGTTGGAAAATCACAATTTACTATTTTCAAAGGTGAACCATAATTATTAGCCACTAATATTTAATCAATTTATATTTATTAAATTAAAATAATTTTAATTCAAGAGCAACCTCACAATGAACAAAAATAGCTACATTATAAAAATGATTTATTATTTACGTTTCAAAATAGTCCATCCTTTGTTTTGTCAACTTTGGTTTCACCTGATGCAATTTTTAGTTCTATTTCTCTTCTTGAAAAGTTGAGAAATGTGTACAGAATATAAAATACCATAAGAAGAAGAAAGAAACAAAGCTAGAAATAAATTTAAGAAGAGAGTTTTTTTTCCATCTTGCCAATCTCTTTGAATGTAATTCTCATTTTGAAAGCCTGTGCCAGCGTTGTCAATATTTTAAATGCAAACAAATAACATTTTATAAGATATATTAAAAAAGAAAACCAAATCCAGGGGGCATTTACCTGTAATGGAACCAGTCTAACATCTCTGTAAAACACGATTACATCTAAGGTTCTGTCTACGGAAATTTTAGGCAGTTAGAAGTTAGGTGAATAATTCAAAAGAATCTAGATATTTGGAGTTATCATAACAAAACATCTGGTGCCGGGTTAAATTCTGTATTCTTAACCTGATATCTAAGTGTAGTGCAGAGATACATAGCCTCACATTTGGTTAGTTTCTGAAAAATGAATTAAATTAAAACACACGACAGATCTTTTCTTCTTACTGGGCTATATCTACATATCATAAAATGTGATAAAACAAAAAATGCAGAGGTTTTGGTAAGCTGGTTCTAAGAATTCGTATTTTAATATATCTTTTCCAGATACTTGAAACATGTTTTTACTCATTTCTTTCTCTTGAAACAGACTTCAAAACTAAAGCATCAATTCTATTAAATTGAGCTAAATCTGCATAAAGGCAAACTTTTATAACAAATAAAGTGTATTTAGGACTTTATTATCTGAAGCTGGATCTTAGGAAATTTCAAGACATCTAATAATTTCAACCAAATTCTTTATTTTGCCTCTCAAAAGAGTTTTTATTGGTCTGCTCCTTTCCAAATACATCTCACATAATTCTTCAAACACTTTACATGGAAGCCCTCTCAGCCCATTCACTCTGGCTCCCTTTGGTTTGGCTTTGTTCTTTCCAACTTTACTAAGCCCTCCTTTATCCCATCACTTTCTTGTGTCTAAATTGAAGTTATCTGTAAAGGCCTAGCTCAGAAATCACCTGCATTTTTCCTCATTTTCCCATTCAGAAGTGACCTGTCCTGTGTCTGGACTCTTGTAGCACATACTCTGTCGTTATTGGAAGCAAAACCTATGTTTTCTCTTTGGTAACCTCCTTAAAAGCTTGTCCCTGAACCATGTTTGAACAACATTTAATGAATAAATAATAATAATAATAATACATTAATACTTTAACCAAACAATCAAAACATCTGAATGATTTAGTAGATAATTTCACTTTTTAAATCAAGCTTTGTGTTTTATGCAAATCATAAATCTCTCATCAAGAGGCCACTTGCTATGGAAGGATATTTTTCCATGTTCTTTGTCAAAGAAACTTTAGTCATTTTTTTTTAAGCTTTTAAAATCAGAGGTAACTTTAATCTGTCATACTGTATAGAAAAAGGTGATCATTCAACTATATTTTTTAACCTCAATCTCCCAAAACACTGGTTTGATTGAAGGAAATATTTAATGAGAATACACTAAACATTGGAGATTATAAGCTTATGAATTTCAAAAAGTTCGTAATAGATCACAAATATTACATATATATTTAAAATGAAAGTGACAAAAGAAAATAATATGTATAGTAACATTCTGTGGGAGCCAGCACTACTACAGACTCTGGAACTTGTCCTGATCGCACGTTTGTATGTAGATAGTTGGAGAGCTCTGGGTTATATTTAAGTGTAATATATCTATGTTTTTTTAAGTTATTGAAGGAAACAATATTTTAAACACACTAAAACTAAGTATAATCGTCCATAATTTTATAATTTCAAAATCAACAATTTAGAAATTTTCTATCTCTGCTTTATTCTTCCAACTCTCTTAATTACAGTTTCGGAAATCATGGACCTACTATGTGTGAATGTATTATGCACCTGTGTATTACATATGAAAAAAGCTTATATAAATATTGAGAGGCTTTTCTTAGTAGTAAGATACATCTTTGGGGCCATTTTTTATGAATTACATTTTTGTGCCTACTTTCTTTTTGAAATCCTAAGTGTATTATCAAGTACCAAGTACAGGAAAATGTGGATGCTATAAATATATGATGGAATCAGCTCACTCATAGAAAGGTCCTGTGCCCTAAAAGAATAAATCTTAGAATGTTGAATCATTTTTGTAACTCAGTTATTAAGAGGGCATTTCAGGTAAACAAATGTTACCTTCTGTGATGCAATTCAATCTGTTTTAAATTATTCTTTGACCACTTTACTTTCTTTGGCTGTTAGATGGTTCGACATCATTGTGTTTTATTACTCCATTGTGGCTAACCTTAATTAAATCAGTAGTGTCTCTTTGACTGCACATCTGTCTTCAATTAGTTTGCTCTGTTGGCTTTTCCTCCCTCTACCATACAGTACTTAAATATGCAAAGATATCACTGTACTTACCACATGATGGCAGCACTTTGCTCTGAGAGCACGGATCAAATTGTAGACTACACTTTAACTACTTTTATATCACATCCAATTATCCAAAATTTAAAAGGCAAGGTCTCTGCCTGTCTCACTAAATTCCAAAAATTGAGTGTTTGGAATGTATATAGGTTGCTGTCTATGCTGTTCCATTATTGGTCTTATATCTTTGGTCCAGCACAGAGCTATTTCCAAATATTCTGAGGAGTAATTTATTATGTAGGTAGCTTGTACTTTCCCAAATTACTTGGTTAATGCAGTAGTAAATATCTTCATAGATACAGTCTCTA